AAAACTTTCAAATTGCGCGTTTTGCTTAATGAAACACGTGTAGTTAATCAGCTTAGGTATTGAACCTGGTATTGTGAAATGTTCATTTGAAATAGTGTGTTATTAAATGCACAGCCTTAAATTAGTCACTGTATGCCACTCTAGTGCGTAATAACAAGCTAGAAGCTGGCAATTAATGACCATGCGGCATCATTCAGGATAGTCAAATAGTCAAGCCATTCCAAACCAACTGACCGTCAAGATGAGATCTGTCGTGGAAGGTGCAGTGTACTAGTGAAGGTCCGAGTGCTTTGTTATTTGTGTGCATAGCTAAAGGTGACATACGTGTGGCAGTGTAAATCGCAGGCAACGACAGGAGGTAAATTGCAGTGTTGATGTGTGCACTGGGTTGCTAAATGTTCAGACTGATCACAGATGCATTGTCACCAGTGGACCGCGTTGAGTTGTGCTTCAAAGTAGCCTGGAACACCAGCCAATCGCGATCAATTGTGCTTTGAAGCAGCCTGGTCTCAACGTGAAAGAATCAACTTTTGCGTCTTACACATGGCCCGATCTCGAGCAAGTCAACTGAAGGCCCGTGTCGAGTGTACTGGTAGGCTGTCAGAGCGGGGCCTCTAACACTAGTGGAGTGCATTGGGCACGATACACGTGGTGATTAAGACGTTGTGTCGAACTTTTGAAGAACATAACAAACATGGTTGATTGAGCTGTGTTGACTGCCTTAATGTTGCTTTTATTTTTTCAGACTATACGCATACTCGAATGCCTGACAAAGCTGTCAGTTGTGACTGATTGCTCGTAAATAAATTTCAGTCAACAAGCTTTAGTTTATTTTACTGTAACAGTCCACTGCTGTCACCTATTTGTTGCATGATACAGTGTACATACATGAGATCTCACAGGTGTTTTTCCTTTGATGTATGTAAATACCAAGAAAAGAAGTAAATGCTAAGTAGAATCACAGCCTACAGTACCGAACTGGCCATGCAATCATTATTCTGAAAACATACTGAAAAAGTCATAAAGTGTTCTTTTGGGGATGTGCTGAGGTTGTTAAGTGTATGAACAAGGGGACGGGATTAGAATTATTTTATACCATAAGAGAACATTCTGAGGGCGTCATAATGTCCTCATGGAGGCGTACTGAGGACATCCTGAGGCTGTATTTGTGTTGTCTCGGATTTCTCGTTCTTGTTTCATGCGTACACGGCTGTACATGTGAGGAAGGTTCTAGAAAGATGCATGGGTTTCAAAAATATAGAGGGTGCCCGAGATAACTCTAGGCGAAGCTTAAATATATGCTGATGCACTCTACGATGACGCGATTGAATACATGTTGCTGACAACTGCAAGTAGACAGTCACTCCGTCTTTTTCACCTTGATTGGTTGCTCGGTCAAGATTTATCAACTTTTAAAGCAACTGAGCGAAAATTTACCATCAGAGGGTTGTAGATTGGCTCGAAAAAACCTTCGATAAGACATTTTTAAAATTTTCCATCTATTGAGTGTTAGTGCTTCACTCCTTCTTGTGGATGTCCGTGAAATACAAAACAATATGCGACATGACATTCCCACATGTTACAATAATTTCAGCACTCATTATTATACCTGAAAACAGCCGTAGCGTTCAATGCACCTTAAAACATGAGAATAGAGCGACTATGGTCGTTGATGACAAACCTGTTGCTTGTGGCAGCACAAGCGATAACCATTGCGTCTGTTCATCACTCTCATGAACTGCCAAAAAAGATAGTGTGAGCACTTCACTCACAGCGCTGCTGTGAGCGAGTCATGAGTTACGTTTTTGTTCTGTTATCTTTGTTTGTTTTGTACGGGAACCTGCAGTATCAGAAAAGCACAAATACACCATAGACAGAAGGCTCAAAGTTTTCTAATCGCACATTTTACAAACCAATATACAACCTTGCAATTGAAATTTGTTGCCCAGCTTCGTTGCTACAGAACAAGGGACAGCTAGCGGGTCGCAGTTTTGAAGTTTCGTCTTGCAAGTGTAGGGATAGTGAAGAAGCTTGGAATGGGTTAATAATTGTTGGGATTTCAGTCTTGAAACCACGATATGGTAATGACTCCGGAAATTTCTACTACCTGGGATTCTTTTACATGCGTCTAAGTTCAAGCACATGGGGGCCTCGGGCATTTCCGTCTTTTGAAAATTAAATGCCCTCATGGTCGGGATTCGCTTCCACAGCTTTCGGGTCAGCAATGGAGCACCATAACCACTGGACTACTGTGGCGGATGTGGGGCAGTAGTGGGACGAGGAGTTCAAGAAATATTGACACATCGCCATTTGAAAGGTTTTTCCCACATCTGAGTCTTTTCTGAAGGTAGCTTGGCATGAGGATTCGAGAAACATATTAATACCAGGCGATCTCTTCTTGTTGTCTCTTTCTCTTTTCTCTTACTCTCGAAGTGCAAGGTAGAGAAATTCGGTATTTTGAAGAAGCCCTTGTACCCCTATGAAATCATGAAGTCACCTCTTGAGTCAAAAACACTCGAAGAGAAATTCCCCCATCGGCACTGCCCGCTAAACTCATTTTGGATGTGGACAGCTATCTCTCCCCTACAGGCTTAAAGGGCATCTAAACAACCTCCGATAACCCTTTTATAATGTTTAAAGTAAATGCACGCATCGAGCCGAGAATGCCAATGCCAAACGCTGCAGTCCTATGGGCCGTGCGCCCCACAAATTCCAAGAAACAAGCCGTTCTCCTCTTTAAGCCTTTCCGCACTCTTCAGCCTCGGCCCCTCTGTGTTCTCCATGATGTCAACATTTTTGTCTGCTCGTCCCCATGACAAATGTTTGTCCACTCACCACTCTTCCTCCTCACTCATTGAGAAAGAGCTCTCGGCCAGAAAGAGAGACGAGCGGACAAACTTAGCATAGCAAAGGAACGAGCTAAACCAGCGAGGGCATCTTTTAGTTCATCAAACAAGTGCAACTCCACTATTGCAGCTCCATTTTGAAAAATCGACATGGCTAGTGTTCGTTGCAGAATCTTGAACAAATGCAGCAACACAGCTTATTTCAACACCTGGGTGGTTTAGAGGCCCTTAAAGGCTCATGCACGCATTTATTAAGAAGATTAAAAAAAAAAGATAAGGGACAAACTCGGACATCTGGGATCCGGGCTGCCAGGGAAAGGTCTGCAGTCGTGTTTGAGAGCCCTGCTTTCGAAGTTAGTTAACTGAATATGCCCAATTAAACAGTTAAGCAGAAAACAATACCTACAGGCAATAACGAGAAAAGAGCGTTTCATCACACGATAAAGATGCCTCAGCATTTGCTGCATAGTGCCGATTACCATAAGCGCACTAAAAGGGACACTCAAGTGAAACCATGCATCGGTTGAGACTGATAGCACATATTCTGAGAACTCGAACCGAACTAATTTCACCGTGACAAATATATTATTAGACGAGAAAATTACGGTCAATGTACGAACTTTAAACTTCGCGCTGAAATCTGCACGTGTGGCATAACGGATTTCAAACTGCACCTCTCATATTTCGGGAACATCAGCTCAACGAAATTTCCAGAAACTATGTACGCTATGTCTCTGGCACCCTTAGAGGTCAATGTACTTAACTTTTACCGATTAGAAATTACGTCGGCCCGAGTAGACGCCGTCAGAATCAATCCCATCACGGCGCATGCTGTGCGGCTTTGAAGGTGGCGTCACCACCAACATTTTTTTTTGCGCATTTTCTCGCTCAACAAGAGTGCTACCATGTACCATGCTAAGCATGGTCATATTTGAATGGTAAAAAAGTAACTTATTGATAACAGGCAAATCGCTTTTATCTTCAACGTCTCTTTATGGTTTACATAAACACTCATGGTTGTGCGCTAAGAGGCAATGCAAGTAAAATTACACGGTAAACATTTTTAAACACAGCTGCTGGTCTGGAAGGGCATTTCGCCTAGTTCTCTAGTTCAACCTTTTCTTTTACGGTGAATAAAAATTGCACTGTGGTTGCAAATTCAATTGAACCGAGCAATGATGATGCTCAAATTATGATGACGCTGAAAGTTGGGAAATTCACAAAATAAACTAAGACTATCTTCGATCCTTCTAAACATAAAATTGTAGCGTATTACACTGACTTCTAAAAGCAACCGCGGCATTGTATTCCCTGCAAACCCACGCTTGCGCATGAAGAGTTCGTGAGGGCGTCCTGGTCACGAGCCCTCCAACAGTTGGGCATGCTAGACGGTAACATGAAGCTACAACACGCTACTATTGTGCGAGTTAGGCCGAGCGAGAAAAACCGAGAAATAACAACAGCAACCATCTGGAAGCACCTCAAGCACCACCTGACAGGCAAGAGCGTCACTATTTTTGCATGGGTGTGACGTGCAATCTCATCAAAATAAAACTGCTAGAAGGAAGAAGTGTCTATATACGTTATAAAAAAATGGCTTTTTTAAGTTATGCACTCCAGGAAAAACTTCGTTAAATAAAGTTTGGTGCCAAATTAGCTCCGTTCATTCGGTTTGATAACATTGTCTCCTGTTTTTACTTTCGGGTGTTTTTGCTTGATCAAATTTTAACTGTAGCTGAAACAGGTGACACAAACTGCACAAAAAGTAAATTTTTGCAGATATCGCTGACAAATTATCATGACAGATATTTCTGCAGTGCGCCCCACAAAGTTTCTTTTGACTTTTCTTCAATTATAAGGGCGTATGCTTGGGCGTGTCGGTAATCAATTTCACTATTTCAGCGCACTGTTTAACAAAGAGAGAACAGGAGCTTTGTGTCCATGTCATTGTTCTGTCCCCTGTCTTGTTCTACAATGCACTACAATAGTAAAATTATTCTTTCCAAGGACGCCTTACCCCATGGCATATTTTGTTTACTTCACCGTAACAATGCAATAACTAGCTGAAACTTCAACTTTGCTGCAGCGTACAACAGTATAGCAAGGTCTACAAGGTCAAGCGTGGACACGAGGGACTAAGGATTACACACTTACCATCATCCCAAAAGCATTCGTCGTCAGAGCTACTTGTGTCTTGGTTGGTTTGCATTCGAGCTGCTAACAGAGACAGGGCTTCTGCAATCGAGGTCGGTTCGGCTGTTGAAACAAAAAAAAAAGTAATAATAAACTGCGAACACTGCAAGTTCAACGTAGTTGTACATACCCAAAGGAGCCGACATGCCCTCGACACATCACGTATCAAAAAGTGGCCGCAATGGCACGCTACTGCCAAAGAAAGACTTTTGTTGTTTTATTCGTCCTTCCCCATCGGTTCATCACTAATGCCAAGCCTGTCTTCGATTACATTCCATTATCAGCGGTGGATCAGCGGCTGTGGTGATCGCCTGCTGACCCGAAGGTCACAGGTTCGATCACGACCGTGGCAGTCACATTTGGTGGAGGCAGAATGGTGAAGAGGCTTGTGTACTCTGCGATGTCAGCGCACACTAAAAAACACCAGGTGGTCAAAATTTCCAGAGCCGTCCATACAGTGTTTCTCATAACCATATGGTGGTTTTGAGACATAAAACCCCAACTATTATTCTATTACTCGGAAAAAATTATAAACGCTAATGGGAACTAGGCATGCATGCAGGCTAGAGGAGACCCGCGACCTATCCTGCACTGTTCAGTGAACTTCGAAAATATTCTGAATAGAAATTGGAAACGTGTTTTTAATTGTAACAGCAATTATGTGGACAATCTCGACAAGCTTTTGCTGTCGACATCATCATTCCCGTTGCTATTGCCATCCCCGCAAAGCGAAGGTTCAATTCGTTAACATTACCCCTCCCTCTCTGCACCTCCTACGCTCCACCCGCGGGTAGAGTATACAATGTGTTGGTACGCTAGTGGGGGCATGAGCAGGGGCGCTGAACGTGGCTGAAGCAGAGATCAAACTAGCCGACTGACGTCCGTTGCCCAAAGGATGCGTGCAATAACAACAGCGCTTGTGCGAAGCCCGCCGTCTATTGCTACTCAAGCAGCGAGAAACCCGCCCCCAGGTGCGTAGCCAGAAATTTTTTCGGGAGGGGGATCTCTTTTGAAATGTTTAAATGGTCATTTTTCACTGAAGCCAGGGGGGAGTGGGGGAGACATGGGCCCAGCGTGTCAACCCCTGGCTACGCCCTATGCCCCTGCCCGCCCCCCACAAGATACACTAATACCCCCCCCTCACCTCGCCGTGACGCAACACCGGTTTGCTCCTTCAAAACACGACCCTGCCAACGACCATAGATGGCTCGTATACACACCTCTACGTGTGCTCTCAGAGCTAAGAGACCGTGCGACATCCGGTTCTCTCCCTGGGGCGGCCATATTCTCTTGCACCAACATTTCGTTGAGTTAGGGGACACTGGGTCTAAAAAAAGTTAGCTGCCAGACCTACTTTGTATCAAACTACAATTGGTTGCTATCGCATACTTTGTGTTACTCTCGCAGTAAAACTCCGATTTCTGTTTTTTTTATTTAAGTAAAAAGCACAAAATACAGTGTTTGATAATAACAAAAAAGCAAAGAGACAGACTAGACAATCGGGGTCAACAATCTAAAAAATAGCAGTACTGATGGTCAAACAATGAAAGCAGCACGTTCAGAATTACGAGCGCTGCTCAGGCGTACCTTGATTGTGACACTGCTCCCCGTGATGTTCCTTCGTAACAATGGTCTCTGGTTTTCTCTTCGTGTACGGCGAACAATCCATTAAGGGTGCACATTCTACGAGAGTGATAAGGTGGCACGCATTAGGTTGGTGCGCAGTGCATGTATATGCCACAATCGACACTCTCGAGTAATGTACCGGAAACACACCTCGCATCCACGCCTCTTCAGTCACTTTCTTTTTGCTTTGACATTGCTTTGCCGCTGGAGCCTCTGTAAAGATAATCAGGCAGAACCGATTCATATCTTCAAACCGATTCAAATCCCTCCAACAACACCGAACCGCCGTGCCGAACTGATTCGGTGTTGCCAGCGAATGACGTCACTTAAACTGCTTTGTTGGAATACAAACATTGTGGGAGGCAAAGTCTATGATGTCAGGTTAATATTGTGAGTACATCGCACCATAGGTCGGCAAAACATTGCGAAGCTCACAAATAACTCACGAAAGATATATCCTGCACTAAGGGCTCACTCAAACTTAGACTCACCAAAATTTTTTGCATATGGTGATTTTGGAACGTCCAACCCCACATATCAATCAATCACCCAATCAAAATTTTTTCAGCTGGACTCATTCGAACTCACACTCACAAATCTTTCTTCGTTCGGAGTCAAACTCACCAAAATATTACTCACCCGGACTCAGAATCACAGCTCGATGTAAGTCTGAGTGAGTTGAAATGAGTCGATGCATGAGTTCGTTAATCTCGAATTAACTTTTTCACTGTGGTGTCGATGCTCTTCACACAAATATTTTACATAATCAGTGCTCTTATTGGCATCTTTTGATATATAGCACCTTGGAATACGATCGAGGGCTTGCAAACCATTAGGCTCATTATTATTGACATGAATGGCAAAATAAGATTTATATATCAAGAAATATCCTGGAAGAGTTTGTGAAGGGGAGGTCAAGGCCTTTCTACATAATTAGTGCCTCTGATGAATAAATATTAAATAGCAAATGAACGACCCCACCTTGAAAAATACGTGCAAGTAGAGGTCAGTTTAAACGTGAATCAAGGTAAAGCTGATAGTTAGGTTGACGATGAGAAGATAGGAGTCACATGCAGCTTCTTTCATTGAGTAAGCACAGAGGTTAATAACATTTCAGCCTTGTATAGGTTTTGCTACGGCCGCTTAATGGAATGCGTTTCTGTAGCAAAGCCAAAGGTGACAGTTGGCGGCGACGACAACACGAAGTGATGCAATATCATGACGTGATAACAGGGTGACGTTGCACATGGCCAAAGTCCTGTGACGTGGTTACATAGCGTCGTTACTACGGAGACGGGGCCAAACCACGTCAAGTACAGAGATCAGAGTTTCAGACATCTTTCAGACATCTCGGCCGAATCCATAAGAGGCAGTGCGAACTTCTTTTTTAATATTATTTCTATGTCCTTATACATGCACACTCCTTGTTACCACGTCTCGCGTGGCAAGAACGGGGCATGTGAATTCTGAAGAAAGTGACGCATCCGTACAATGGAACTTGCGTGTAAGATTGGTGGACAACACAATCTATGCAGTCATATTTAATGAAGATAATTATGCGATAACAGCGTAAGAGCCAATATTAGCCGACACATGTCATTGTCTGGCCATCACTAGCCATCATCTAGCCACTGCACGGAGATGCAAACCAACTTTGTGAATCAATTAGGCATATTTAGTCCACACTTGTGACCGCTTAGCCGTGACTGCGGCAACATTAGTGACTAATAATCATCCCCCATAGTAAAATAGTAAGTACGATACGTCGGGACACCAGCTTCAGTCAGTCAGTCAACTTTGTTCAATAATTGTCCTGAGGAACTGATGCCCCTCAAGAGGGCGGGCCAGCTGCAGGCTGCACCCACCTCGGGACAGGAAGGGCATGCCACTCTGCCAAATTGCAGGCCCTATATATAAAATTTCTAGGTAAATTCACTGGCAACTGCAGTGCGTTAAAGAGAAACAAAATTCAACTATAAGGTCGACGTTTATTATTGAAATAGCGGTCCAGAAACCTTGTAGTGTTACTTTTGTGCCAGAGAAGAGCCTATTTTGAAATGAAAATCATGTTTTAGTGGTTGGCATTGGGTTAGTGCACTTCAAGTTATCCTGCCTCAATAAGCGAACCGACCGGACCGCCTCACTGCAGAAGGGGAAGTGTGCCGTGCACGGCGCGTTCCAATGGAGGCGAGGGGGCCCCCACAGTGATGAAACAGGTTGAGTACAGCCTGAGGGCGCTAATGGTGCATTCAGACGACTGGAACGAATCCGGATTTGTCGTGGTCGCGGACGGCTAATTCGTGGATGATCCACCTGCAGGCGCATCCACATGACGGACGGTGTCCTTGGAGAAAACAGCCGGATTATCCTCGACAGAAGATTCGGTGCTCACCTTGCGCCTGCTGGCAGACTGTTTTGAGAGTATTCAACATGGTGCCCGCAAGAAGCGACGCTTGGCTGCGATGTCTGTCGCGTTGTGACAAATGAACGAGGAGTGTTATTCTTTCAGGAGAAAAGAGAGTTGCTGGCAAAATGTTCTTTCAACTACACTGTTTCCCACTTGTAGAACTTCTGAACGCGTCTCCCATCCATTTTTAGAAGTGGCACATCGACGGTTGCAGAAGTTAGAATATTTCACCACCATAACGGCTAAAAGTCTCGCGTGTCAAACGACGGCAGGCGACATTTCCCGAACCACCAAAAGTGATTTCTGTGAATTTGATCACCTGAGAACAAAGCCCCCGGAAATTAAGTAAACCATGCTCAAGCGTAGATGATGCCGACCAGTTATGCAGCTGTCCGTGAGCCATGGAGGACATGCCGCGAGCAGATAAAAAGCGTACTGGTTGCCAGAAACCCCGACCTAATCCGCTGAAGTATCGGCTTTCTCCCAACAGAATCCCGATGTGAGAAACAGGTTGAGGTCACCCATCCGCGAGCTGTGTGAACGAGTCGCGGACGAGGGGAATCGCTGATGTGAGGTCACGTGACGCGCCGTCCGTCTCGCCACATTTGGATTCGGTCCGTCGTCTGAATGCACCATAAGGGACGCTGCGAACCAGAGGAGCACGTTTGTCAACACATGTTCATTGGTTTGGCTGTTAGCGCGTGACCAGTTTCTCGTTGCCGGTATTTCTCGCATTGAATAACTATGCTCCTCGCCAGATAGTGCTGTTTGTGAGTGATGAAATTACGGTGGAGTTTGCGCTTGTCTACTGGAATAAAAAAATGACTGGGAGATGGCGGGACAAGCGAGACGGCTTTTGCTTTGTGGATATTCTAACAGCCGCTACCACTCGTGTAAAAAGGCGCACTCCTTATTTCGGGTGTCGTTGAAGCTGACCCCCGAGAAGAATGATCGCGGAACATCAAGAGAGGTGATCGAGTCCTCGACAAGAGCAGCGCTGTTTATGAGCGACACTTCAAAGCATTGTTCATACGGCAAACTTTCAAGATGACTATCGACGGTAAGGTTATTGAGATCCCCAGACACCTGCCACTAAAAGATGCCATTCTTAGAATTTTCCCTGATGCTCCCAAGTACCTTATCATATCGCTGCGGAAAAAAAAACAACAGAAAGATCGCATCTTTAGCGATCAGATTCTCCCCAAACCGAAGCGAAGACATGAGAGCAACACATTGTCAGAAGTTGAGTCGAACGACATTGATCAAGGCAGTTCAGTCGATGATGTTCCGGAACAGGAATGCCAGAGAATGTCGAATGATGTTGGCCGAGATGGTGCCGCTGATAAAGCTTTTGACCAAAAATTTCAAGGGCTGTCATTTTAAAACCTCACTATTTCAAATGAGTGGTTGGAAATTTTCCTGCCGTATGTTGGGAACTCATTTCTTTATGCCGAGTTGGAAGCCGAAGCTGTTGATCATAACAAGGTAGCATTGAAAAAGTCATTCAGATTAAAATGCAAGCTGCTGAAATTGCTGCAACCGTCGAAGTTCTCGTTAGGTTAGGTTAGGTTAGGTTAGGTTAGGTTAGGTTAGGTTAGAGCCGCCAAGAGGAACTCGTAGCACAAGAGGCAGAGTTGATGATAAACAAAGTGAGCAAATTTACTTTGTGTCCCGGTGTGGGAATGGAGCTTTTAGCTGGTAAATGCTCGTAGTTTAATAGGGTGCTCTCTTCGAAGAACTGCACGCTTGTAGTAAATGACTTCAGGGCTTGTGTTCCCTGCAAATATCAGAGAAAGCTGATACTCAACCAGCTTTCCAGAAGACGAAGGCGAGAAGATGTTTACGAAACAAAGTTCTGGCAATATACGACGTAACCTTCGAAAACGAAAGCCAAGCTTAGCAGCGCAAAAATTAGCTTGAGTCGAATGAAAGCAAAAATGAGCAGTTATTTGAAGAAGCAGTAGTTGAAAGAATTAGAGGCCTTCGATTGATGCTTCTAGACCGTTTAGTAGTGCAAAGCAATACAAAAGATACAAAACACACTGGACCGAACACATACACTTTTAATAGATATTTAAGCTCCATAAGTTAATACATTGAAATTCAGCCAATGTTATTTGAAAGTACATCATTACTATATAAAATATAGTAACTTCAAAATGAAACAAGTTCGGCTGGTGTAAACGACCTCACCGAATTGTAGTTGGATGTTTTTGTGTACGCCCGTTATAGCGAGAGAACAGCTAGTGCCTATGCGGAAAGGCTGAATTTCACCATTACTGGGCCGTTCCACGTGCTTCTCACACAGCCGCAATGCACTTGCTGGGACCCCTACCGCACGCAAGCGGGGCACAAATTGCCATTTGGTGACGCTGTGGAGGGTAAAAGAGTGTCGCCAATTGGCTTATTTGTCCCCCGCTTGCGTGCGATAGGGGTCCCAGCATGTGCGTTGCGGCTGTGGGGAAAGTGCGTGAAACAGCCCTAAGTGGCATTTATCACATAAAAAGCCATGATGGTTGGAACTTGGAACGACACACAAATCGGCCACACAGCCCGCTCACTGAGCTATCACGGCAGCGAGTGTAGCGCTCCTTTAGTCAGCCAGGCCCTTTAGCGGCTTGCGGAGCGGTCAACGCTAGAAGGACCCTCTTTCCAGCGCCGCGTGGCACACTTCCTCTTCTAGTACACTGTAGCCTCACATCACTGTTGCCAAGCACAACGTTGCCCGGCTTTACTGCGCTAGTAGCAGCAGACCAAAAGCAGCGGGAGCCACAGCAGCAACAACGGCTATTGATCAATTTCCCACCATTGGCTTCGAGATTACAAACGTTTTTTGAATCAACTGCACCCCGCTAGATGGCACCACCTGTCTAGTGTAATTACGCGAAAATTGAATTTTAGAATCACTCATGCCTTTTCCCACAGTAACGTTCAGCGGTTCTTTTTTCCATGAATCAAACAGAAACGAACAGGCAGAATTTTATTGTGTCTCTTGATGCACGGAACGTTTTTATTCAGAGTAGCTACGCTGATTAATAGTGATTAATTGTAGGCAGTCCGTCTGATGTCATTCAAATTATTTTGAGAATGTGAGAATGTCCTACTGTGGCGCACTTGTGCATTTACCTCAATTTCTCGGTAAGCAGGGCACTGTTGCTCATAATATTGTCGTTTTAGATGTTGGCATACATTGAGCTTTCCCTCTGACGTAAATTGTTATTTGAGTTTAGTGTCCCTTTAAGCAGTGTATGCACATGAACGGAGAACATGATGACAACAGCCTTCCCTCGACGATATTTATACTTGACATGTGGTTCAATACAAGAAGGGAAAACGGTGTGTAAGGGGAGGGGAAGTTACAGGTAGTTGCTAGTTCCTCACGCCGTCACTTGTTCGTGGGAGTCGGATCACACACACCATCGAATCGTCCCCCAATGACCAAGTTGGCATGAAACAGATTTTATACATACATATATATATATATATATATATATATATATATATATATATACATACTACAGGTATACAAGTATAAAATATTTATTCACGTAATCCTTGCACTCGCATAACTCTCACATCCCCCACATCGCCCAACAAAAATATGATTTCTTTTTTTTTCCTCGAGTAATTATCGCACCCCAAAAATTGCTGCAATAATTTTGTCAGCTCGTTCCAGCCACTGATGATGATAACACATGCCATCTCCTAAGCATAGAGCATACTATTATTGCACCGAGATTTAATCCAATCCAATCCAAGCCAAAGTGGCAAGTGGACGCTGTGGTGTGTTTTGTACGTTGTGTTCATAATGTCGTTACGTTATGGCGCAGTACAAAAACTATCCGGCTCCTTTCAAGTCGAAAGTGAATGATCATGCACTAAACAACTTCAAGAGGGACGCCGGTAGGTTCTTCGGAGCCGACGAGTTTTGTGTTTGCTACTGGTGACAGCAGCTGAAAGCCACCAAGATGCGTTGGGCCTTTCCTGTGCTTAAGACTGGTATTGATGATAAACTTTACTTTGTCAGAAGGCAACTGCAGACAATTCTGTTAAATGGCCATGATTCCAATAGCGATGTCCTACACTTACCTTTTGCGGTCTCCTGTTGAGCAACGAACGCAACCGCTATACCAGTAATGCCTGCAAGCTTTGCGTACGGTATTCTAATTCTCAACTATTTGCTTGCGCCTTTTGCGTCTCAAATAAATCTTGCCTTGTGTTGAAACTGTGCTTTTATTGTTCAGGTAAGCTTTAATGAGTACTTCTCAAAGGTTGCTGTTAGTTGCCGGTGTGAAAATCTTGATTTGCTGCCACTTCGTTTTTTTTTTCGGTCTGTACATTTCCGCGTAATTCTTACACGCCCCCACTTTGCATCGGTATTCCGCCAAAAAGAGTGCAAGGATTACGCAAGTGAATACAATATCTCGGAAGGTGGCAGGTTCGGTCCCAGTCGGTGAGAAGTTGTCTTTCCGTCCTCTTAAATTTCTTCACACCTATATCAAAATTATAATAATACACTTAAAATGTCCCCTATACACCTTACGGCCTCATCATCCACTGGTTTCCATTAATATAGTGTCATACAGAGAAATGAGCCTTTAAGTTCCCCCCCCTTTTTTTTTACACAGGTCTACAGAGATATGCACCAAAAAGCGCATGAAGTTTCTAGAGTATTCTACTATAATTGCACTAAGAGAAAAAATTTGCAGCCCATTCACAAAGCAAATGCTGATGATAGAGCGAAGCCAGGTCGTAAGGTCTATAATGTCTACAGTGAAGTAGCCGACTAGTATAAAGGGCAGACAGATGGATGAACGGACACACAAAAAGATTCACGGGCGAACAGATGAATAGATGAATGAAAGCAGTACGGTCCATTTTTTTTTAACTGTATTGTATGTGCACTGTGATTGCTCCATGTACGGTATGAACGGACGACCGCCAGGAACCTATGACGATGGTTACAACGAACAGTACCCAAGCCTTGTACTTCGCTCATAAAAAAGTACAGACACGTGTACAAAAGAAGAATGGTTCGCTTACCTTCTGCACACTGCCGCTGCTCTTCATCCTGGCCCCCTGATGGAACGGTAGATTGGCCCTGCAGCTGCATCACTGATGAGCACTCAGCAGGTGGCCGGCATTCTTCAAAGGAAAATTGGTGATGTACTATTATAATCATAGTTTTATCATACGTTCAGGCACACAAGACAAAGAATTTCTTTCTGCTTTAGGAGAAACCATTTCATTGACCTTTACGGCACATAAAACGCGCTAACAACATGCACTGTGCAGCTCGATCGAACATATAGTCACAGGTGTATACCTTGGGTGAAGGTAACTGCTCGTGCGGCTTGAGAGGGCCAAGTGTCCCTATTGCATTACCCCCCTTCCCCCGACGATGCGCATGCATGCACGTGGTGCAGTTGTAGATAGAGTGTTTTCACTGGTTTCTGGCCGACTTCCCGACCTTGACCATTGCAAATTCACGGACTGTTCCACCGCTCACCCCTATGAAGCAAATTTGCATATGGCGACGCGCTGTACTGGGCCTAAAGGCAAGCAATCAAAATTAAATGACAACTGCTCCCATTAATTACGTTGAATGTTGGTGAGAACCTTGAGAAACAAAATAACATGGTGGTGTTTCTCGTTTCACTGTTTAGGCTTGCAGCGCACAGCCGGCATATATAATGAATTTCCGACCTTCCAGTGATTCTTCGTAAACTTTACAAAGTGCCGAAGTGCAAGCCATGCACATCACTCTCGAGACGTCCTCACCACTCCAACCGCCAGCTGGACGGCCTGCAACACTAATCAGCGAACAACGCGGGAGCTGCGAATGCAATTGCCATCTTTCGCGTGACACAGAAAAAAGGTTCGCTTCCTCTTTTAACATACACTCACATAGACAAGCACGCACATAAATACACAGGCACACATGCACACTCGCATGTAGAGCCGACCATTTTTTTAGCCAGAACACACGAGCATCGACCGCCCTATCGATAAGCAGCGTTTAACGCAGCAGAGAAGCAAAATTAACGAGATTTTGTGCATGCGTGCCATGAACAGTCCTGTGCAGCTGTTTTCTGCTGGGCTGTTCTGGAAACTAGGCATCAAGACAACCGCAACAGGTGCTTACAGACTCAGGGGAGCGCTAGAGTGACTTGGGTGTGGGTAAGTGCTGGTGTGGTTTGGGAGTGGGACAGAGGAGGGTAAGCATACTGTGGTGGCTTGGGGGGGGGGGGGGGGAGGACAGTGGCGAAGGGGCAGCACTAGTGTGACTTGGGTATGGGGTAAGTACTGGTGTGGTTTGTGGGGAAAATGGAGGTGGGAGAGCGCTAGTGTGATTTGGGTGTGGAGTAAGTACTGGTGTGGTTTGAGGGTGCAATGGAGGTGGGGGAGCGGTAGTGTTACTTGGGTGTGGGGTAAGTACTGGTACGTGTGGTTTGGGGTGGGAATGGAGAAGGAGGAGCGCTAGTGTGACTTGGGTGTCGAGTAAGTGCTGGTTGGATTTGGGGAGGGGTAGCTGCCTTTTCTGGCACCCCTGTGCGACACTCATGACGACCACGTTAGAACCATCTGCGCAGCAACGTCAGCCTTTGTGCTCCCATGCAATAAAATAGAAAGGTAGTGTTCTGCTCTCATCCAAGCAAAAGCTGGTACATATCAAGCAGTTGAGTCTGCTATTGAACTCATTGTTGAACCCCAACAACAAAGAAGAAGACAAATGTTTTTCAGATCACAATACCTGACATTCTGTATCAAAATAATGAATAATGTGTGATTAACACTGTAAGGATAAAGCTTGCCTGACTCCCAGTCCTCCTCTTCGTGGTACGTCGCCACTGTCGAGTCCTCTGCTTGCTCTAATGCTTCACAGTCACTCTCGAGTGGGCTTTCTACAAAAAAAAACAATGCACGATAAACAGGTTCAACCTTGTCAAACAAAAGCGTCACTATGACACAGAAATAAAGTTCTGTCGACATGACAAACAGCAAAGATGATAAGTTGTACAACAAGTCGAAGGGATACGAGATATTCGAAAATTAACTCGTCGGCTGATGTGGAATTACCGCCTGGTTCGGCGAAGTAAGCGAAAGTGTACCAGGCTGCTAGTGCACAGACCAATCGGCATCTTGTTCCATGGTGATGCGACTTTAATGTTGCAGTTTGAATCGTGATGACTGAAGTAAAGAGCGTGAAAATGTCTCCCAGATAGGAGGAAAGCGTCCATTTCAGCGCGGGTGCATGTGACCCGAGCAGAGACGTCAAATGAGACGTCACACAAACCCTGTAAAACTTGTATCAAAGGAATGGCTTTGTTTGGCATTGCATTACTATCACTATTTTGCCAGTGTCGTAATAGGCCCGTGTCACTGAGAAGGGTCAGCAACCTACACTGTGCCGCTTCGCTGTTCTCAATGTTTCACCAGCATCCCTACTGGCAGAGCCAGGTTCAACAGTGACATGCCACCCTGCCAGTGACGTCACATGTGAGGTTTATGATCGAGTCACGTGACCCCATTGAGCTGCTGAGGTGCAGATGAAGGAAGGAAAGTAGAAATTCACGAGCTTGTTTTTTTTTTCTTTATTAGACACATGTAATATTAAAATAATTACCAGAAAATGATGGCAAATAAGGAAATAATAAGGGCATTCCTTGGCATCATTGTGTATTAATTCTCCTTAATATAGTGTCTTACAATGAGCTGCAGATGGGCATTCCTGAACAGGACTAGATAAATGGATGGATGCGAAACTTTATGTGAAGTCCTGAGGTGCACGACTCAATGCGCAGCGGGCCAATCCCGCATAGGGACAGTGGGGCAAGCCCAAACGCCGCATCGTGGGCCCTCTGGACAGCCCACAGTTGACCCCGACATCGGGGCTCTTGATAGTGGGTAGCCACTTTTCATTGGATTGGTCCATGCCCCACAACGAGAGGCAACACCAGAGCATGAAGTATAGGCTAGCGAATTCGTTGCAGTGCCTGCAAGAGCTTTTAGGATAAATGTCTGCATAAATTTTATGCTATGAAGCCGGGCTTGGATATGAACCCATCTGCAGTAGTAGCCTGAGAGTCAAAGCATGCGCTTGGTTTAACTTCAGGAAGGGGGAAGTCTGTCCTGCTAGGATAAAAGCAATGTGTGATTTCATCGGTTGATCTCTGTCCTCCATAACTGCGGGCCGGCGGGAGAGTTCTCCATGGTCGCGGAAAGTGAGACTTCGCGCCTTGGAGTGAACCAGCTCGTCCAGGTTTGTGGGGCCTCCCCTGATGGATCCCGCGTGGGCGGAGAACCCTGTGGGAGTGGGAATGCTTTAGCCCTCCAGTATGTGATAGGCTTCCTTACATAAGGCTCCAACGCTGAAGGCCTAGATGGCTGCCCTGGAGTCGCTGAATATATGTTCATGTTCGTCATGCAGAAGCACCAAGGCGATGGCCACTTGCTCGGTTGCACACGGCGACGAGCATCGTACTGTAACGGCGTGAATGGTCGAACCCCTGTATCGATACTGCTGCAAAACTATTGCTGTAGCCATATTGGGCCGCGTAGAGGAAGCAGGTTCTGCCAGAAAGTTCTGTCACCCAACGTAGAAGCATCACCGCCCTGGCCTTCCTTCTTTCCACATTGCGCTGGAGATGCATATTGCGCAGCACGGGGGATATGATCACATTGAATTTTCGCTCTTTCGGAAGGCCTTGGTAGAAGTTTTATACTTTGGTGGGCAGGATGCCCAGCTCTATGAGGAGTTGCCTGCCCGCCCTGATGCCAGAGTCTGGCAATCTGCGCCCTTTCTTGTGCTCCTGCGATCTCTTCTAGAGTATTATGAATACCCAACTGCTGGAGTTGGTCAGTGCGTGTGTAAATTGATAGACCAAGCGCACCCTTGATACCCCTTTTTATCATGGCATTTAGCCTGTCTCGCTCGGCCCTCTACCAGACGTGCATAACCGCTACATACGTGAAATGGCACAACAAGAAAGCGTGCACGAGTCTTATCAGCTTCTCTTCACTCAGGCCTTGCCTTCTGTTAGCTGCCCGCTTGCATGAGACCGATGACGCTATCCGTCCTTTTCGACAATTTGTGCATGGTTAAACAATTTGTGCCCGCTGCTTCAAAGGTCATTACCAAGATTCGAATAAATGGCGCTTAGGAGAATCAGATCTTCCCACTTGGCATAGAGATTACAGTAGACTCTCAATAAACAGAACCTGAAGGGACCAGTAAAGTGTGTTCCATTTAACAGGAGTTCCGTTTACTGAGAGATGAACAGGGGCACACATTGCAAGAATTAAACCAATCTTGTTAGAAGCATTTGTTCCATTTAAGCAGCAGTTCCGTTGAACAGATTTCTGTTTACTGAGAGTCCACTGTAATGTCAACTTCGGTGGGGGCTTTCCAATTATGTGGCTTGGGTCCCTTTTTAGTTGGACTGCAAAGAAGAAGCTGTGATTTGATGGGGAACACCGGAGTACCATGTCTTCTAGAAGGCGCTCTGTAGTATCGACAGCATCCTCGTGAGCAACTTTAATTTGTCTTTCACTGCCTCACATGCACCAAACAGTGATGTTCCACTGTAATGTCAACTTCGGTGGGGGCTTTCCAATTATGTGGCTTGGGTCCCTTTTTAGTTGGACTGCAAAGAAGGAGCTGTGATTTGATGGGGAACACCGGAGTACCATGTCTTCTAGAAGGCGCTCTGTAGTATCGACAGCATCCTCATGAGCAGCTTCAATTTGTCTTTCACTGCCTCACATGCACCAAACAGTGATGTTGTCCACGTATATCGTGTAACTGATGCCCCACATCATCTGCTCAAGAAAGTCCTGATAAAAGCATGGAAAGACAAACATAGGTGAAGTTTGGAGATGGTGCCGAGAATTAACTCCTGACGAATGTTATCAAAAGCTTTCTCCAGGTCCAGACCGAGGATGGCTCTCGTGTACCAAGTGCAGATGTCCAGTACTTGGATATTGATAGGCATCATGGAATGCACAATTCTTTTTTTTTTCTTCAAATTATCAAAAGTGAATTAAGTCTAGGCCCTTTTACAAGTGCACAACTGGCGTCAGCTGTCACAATACTTGATGCATATTTTATTCGCATACGGCTATGTCACCTCAGGCAAGAAAAGCAACAGTAAATAGGTGCGCTTAGAATAATGTTATACCGGGGTGACGAGATTCCGACGAGGCCGGATCGATGCGATTAGGATGCACGCAACATTTAAAACAGTGCATTTGTGCGAAGACTTACGATTCGTGTGCATTGAAATGTGGAACGAAAAGCACAGCGGTTAATTCCGCAGACTACACTTGGACATGCTGCCTTTCACATCTCACCGCGGTACAATTAGGAAAAAAATAAATCTGTTCCGATAGCACTTTGACTTGGGCGAGTTGGTACATACTTGGATAGGCTTCAGCACAAATTAGAAGAAGAAAAAAAAGACACACAGAACACAGATGAGCGCTGTCTGTGGAACAAAACGCCTCATTGCCGGACACCTACAGAAGCATCTTTATGTGTTGGTGAGCGAAGATCGTTTTTTAGTTAGGAGTGCATCGGGCGTTGTCAAGGGTTTAGGAAGTTTGCCTCCTGGTGTGTACACAGGTTTTTCCATTGATATTGAGGAACTTTATTATTCTGTTTTGCATCAGGAGTTACTAAGTGCTATAAGAGAAAAGATATCAGCCTTGGGGGAGTCAGAATTCCAGAACGCAGCAGGAATACGTAGTGATGACTTCTAAGACCTGTTAGAATTCTACCTGAAGTCCACAGCCATAAAATTTGAAGAAAACTTCTTTATTCAGAAGCGTGGCATTTGCATTGGGTTGTCAGTTGCTCCAGTTCTTTGCGACATTTTCCTGTCAATCATTGTAATGCGCATTCATTCCCACACTCAGGACTCACGCGTAGTAAAAGTCTATAGATACGCAGAAGACTTCCTCGTAATTCTAAAAGATGTATGCAGCAAAGGGATTGAAGGTGCTGTGAAGAACATAGTTGATATGTTCACAAAATATGACGCTCGTCTTAATTTCACATGGGAAGCTGCCTAAATGGAACAGGCTACAATTTCTGGACTTGAGCCATGCAGTTCAGTCCAGGAAAATCTGCTGGAAGTTCAGTCCAAGATCAAACAAAGACCTATTTCCCTTTGAAAGCACTCATTCAAAACTCGTCAAGAGAGGAATAATGATGAACTGTCTCCAGTCTGTGCTAACAAAATCCTGTGAGCATTGCATGAATGAAAGTTTCAAAGATCAAGTACCATGTTTGAACAATGCTGGGTGCCCATCGTTCCCGAGTTCTGAGGTTTTCGAGTCGTTTTGTCAAAAGTCTAAGTAGGTCTGACGGGGAAAAAGAACGAGATAATCAAAAGAGGAAGGAAGGTACAAGTGATTTCCTACATACACAAAATTTCACACAATATTAAGAGGGTTGCGTTGAAGCACGATATTCAGGTTGTTTTCTCAGCTCCGTGCAAGTTGTCGAAACTGTGCAGCATGACTAATCGTCAAGCTTCACCCAAACGCTCAACTCGGCACAAAAACAAGTTTGCAGAATGTGTAGCAAATGAGATTTATAACCTTCCCCTAAGCTGAGGCCACTATTGCATAGGGCAGACGGGTAGATGTTTTAATGAACGTGCAAAAGAGCACCACTTGATTGAACACAATAACACTGGTAGCCACCTAGCCGAGCACTGCAAGCGTTGCGGCTGCAGACCAAATTTCAACGGCACCAAGTTTTTAAAATGAGCCAAAGATAGGACTGAACATGAATTGGTTGAAACGTATTTCATTAAAGAAGGTGGTGATCAATGTGTAAACATGCAGGTCTGTTACCCTAACGAATGCTGAGACTGACTTTATAGATGAGTTTTCTTTGACTAGTTTCGCCCTTGCAAGCTTTTTCCTTTTGTTTATGGTTTTTTTATTCCACTTGACACTTGTTTTCTTTGACCCAAGTTACACAAATTAGTTGGTTTTTGACAAAGAATGGCTTGACACCCCAGAACCGGGTGTTTTTTTTTTTTCACGTTGTTCCTTTTCTGGGTATATCTTTATTGCCTATGTATGCTTTTCGTTATGTACAGCGCGGGTTCGCCGGAGCGCAAGACGGTTGGTGGTTTTAGAAATTGACGCCGATATCTGTTCTCTAAGTTGTTATGTATTGTTTCATCCTCACGTGCTTTTAGTGTTTTCAACTTCGTACTTTTATTTTCAGTTTTTTTAGACACTTACTTTATTTATCACCACGACAAGTTAAACATTTCACGCCCTGCATCACGTCTGCTTTTATGATTGATATAAAAAAAATCAGCGCTTGTCTGTGTTCTGTGTGTCTTCCTTGTCTTCGTCCAATTCGCACTGAATCCTATGCGAATAGGCAAAAAAGAGCTGTTGACATTCGTAACGTATATGGTAACAAAACCAGACTATAACCATTTCAGCGGCGGTGGCTTTGTTTGTGTACGCAACTTGTTTATGCTAGTAAAGTCAATCTGTGGCCAAAAGAGAGCGAGATTGTATTGCTCACTAGACTAACTGAACCTTCCCCATAGCCAACATGTCTTGATTGAATCTGTGACCTCTGTATGACAGTGAGCGATCACTTTAGTGAATGTGCACTACGATGTTCAGTGGGTAGTTCAACGTGCTGTTTTCCATGACGTTGATATTACATTTTGTTTTTTCAAAATGAACGCGACCAAAATCTAATTTTGCACACATTTGCAGTTCGTGATTTCATTCTTTTTATGTCAAAGAGAAGTACGATTTACTTTCTGAATATTGGACCATTGATTAAATGCTAGTTACAATTACTTAAACTCACAAGAAGCCACACATTACTTCACTTTCTTTGCTAGAACGCAACATTAGGTGCCTTGGAAATATATCATGTAATTTAGACACATTCCTAGACAGTGCATCATACTTTGCCCCCGAAGGGGTTAAACCAACCACCATTTTGCATGATCTGGAATGCATATATATTTTAAAAAAAAGCAAAAGAGGTACTATAGATAGATTACTACATGTCAGTGATAGCGCAGAAAGAGCAATTAGATTAGATACACGAAACACAATGCTGCCATTCACTAACAAGCAGCAAAGTGGCGAACGAATTTCGTACTCATCCAACAAGCAAAGTGATACATTAACAAGTTAAAAAAAGAAGGACCTCTTACCTCCTTCTTCCTCCTGTGTTTTCTCCTCTTCTGTCAGAACGATGGCTTCGTCGCTTTGATTTTCGCTCGTAGAATCAGTCGGCGATACACACGCTAAAGAAAAAAGGAAGGGCTGATTAGTAACGAAAATAAGAAAATAAATAAATTTAATAAAAGCAATCCACGTCAGTTCAACGCGTCTCTTCACTAATGATGCGCAGCGAACCAGTCTCACTCTGCCGTGGTGAGGCGTACGCACTTTCAACCTTCAATGCTGCGAACAACGCGGCAAGAACAGCCATGCAGAACAGATAGAATTTCGTGCGATGCGCCAGTACTACGTAGTTTGTCAGCGCCAAACTCATTGAAAAGCGGTATTAAGTAGACCCACAGATGGGACCATAGCTATCTCGCAAGCGACTATGCCTTGCCTGAATGGTGAGCATTTATTAGAATCGAGCAAAGAGGAAAAATTAATGACCAATATTATTCATTACTTCCACTTCCACAATTTTCCGCACTCGCATATGAAATTGTGCACAAATCCAGAAGCATCGCATGAAATTTTTTTACAGCTTGCTACAATTTCGCTGCACGCACTAGGAGCACCTCTGAAAGAGGCTTTTAAAAAATAACGCTCTTTCATAAGCAGGGGTGCACAGATCTGACGTAAGCATGTCACACAGCGGCTTGCACGTGGACGAGCAACCAACAGCTAAATCGCCACCTCGTCACTTTATCGTCGTCACCCCGTAAACAAGGTCATTCAGTGAGCTTTTTCATAAACTCTTTCAACAGGGCTGCTTATAAGAGTGTGCTCGATTTGTACAAAAAATCGCACCGCTCCTTAAAAGAAAGCGATTTTTCATTATTAGTAAAGGTGCAATCTCAATCCCAAGAACATCACTTTTACCGTGACACAACACTTCGTAAGCGAGATAACGCGTGAGAAGTAGCTACAGATAAAGACAACACCTTGCGTTTCCTACATCCACAATCATGACGTCAGAGATTTTGAAGGCATCTACTTGGTCCTACGTAGCTTCTAATCAATAAAAATGAAGTAAATTGTCACCTGTGAGTGCCATAGACCTAGCATACAAAGTTCCAGAAAATTTCATCAAGCCAATGCTGCGAAAATATGAAAGATACATTTTGAAATTTTCGATGTGATGTGCGAAAATTTCAGGCGTGAAATTTAAAAAATTTTATTCTTAATTGTTGAGGCTAATAATAAAGTTATGAAAGTGAAACATACAGCATAAGAATTTTCAGTGTGGAGTTCGTCAACCTAAACCACATCACTGTTTCTCTTCAATGTTCCTTTAAGAAATCGGCTAAGATGACACGAAAACGAAAGGCATCTTCTCTTTCTTCTCAATCGATTGTATTGATGCCCCTCAACCCATCAAAAAATCTTCAACACCTCACGCGGTTTTTCGATGCCTCCAAGATCGGCCTGCGCTTGACCAAGCTGTGATGGCATCATAGTGCGATGTTAAGGTACATCATGGGGACACCAAAAACTTTGGTGGCATGTGGCACCGTGGCCATTAGATAACGATTTTTGCAGCCCTTGCGTTGCGGACGGTCAATTCTTCGCCTTTGATGAAGCACCTAAATTTTTTAGCCTTATTAAGTTTTAGGAGACAAACCGAAATACATCAAGAACCATAGTCATTGACCGAGCACACAAGACCGCACGTGACCTCGCACAGAGCCTCCCATTTGTATCGCTAATGCTTCGCGTTGAGGTCCCCATGAAACATGAAAAAGAACTTGCCTTCATGCTGGTCTTCTTTTTGGTGGCTTTCTGGCACCACTTTCATGGGGGAACTGCTTTGGCTTGGCAGAGTATGCACAGTCACCAGCCGGTCATCTGTAGAGGAAACCCAAAATGCACAGCACAGTTTTGTTTTTGTTTTTTGCTATCGGGTGAGTACGCTTCTCCAACAGATCTTAATCTCACTGGAGGAGCCCCGTCGCAAGACGTTGCTACAAAACTACGACACATGCGCAGAGAGCTGTAATGTCTGCGCATTGTGTGCTGGACTATCCCGTTAAGTTACTAGTTCACTTCACACACAAACAGAAATGCAGACGCACATTACTGCACCTAACCACGATCCCTACAACATGCAGTCCCATGCTGCTTCATCAGCTAACCTGTATATGAAAATGCTTGTTGTAGCCATCATGATTATAGTGGCAGAAACGCGTAGGATGCAACACGTGTAGGTGCTCGTGCTCGTGTATCGTGGTTATTTTCACGTGTTTCGGTATTTTAAAGAACGCAGCAGGAAAGATTTGCGGTCACCGTCACTACTATAGAATTTTCTAAAGACGCCCTATACAGCCAATTCTGCCCCTAAAGTTATGGGCTACAGCCCACAGCAATTCAGCCAACGCATAAATCGTGGCTGGGGCACAGATTTGCCTAAAGTTCGTCTTCCTGTTCTGTTTCCTTCCGTGTGGCCGACATGCAGCCACTCTGTCACCAGAAGTAGTTCAGAAAATGTTAAGCACATCCACCGATCACATCGACCACTGATCAGCACCGCCTTGGCCTTTTAGGCTATTTCAAATGGGGTCACGAAGTTCACAACAATCCATTCTTTTATTAGAAATGAACGCCAAAGCATGTGTAATAAATGATGCCGCAAGCGCGTTAAAAGTTGCAAGCACGAAGGCTATAAGCAAATCCATGTACCACCCGCCATTCTTCTGGTGGCTTAATGATCGCAGTGCCAGAGTTCCCAAATGCGGCAGAGTCATATGACCAGAGCAAAAAATGCCACGTGTGAGGTAATAACAGCGTCAGAATTTTAACAACAGGGAAACGCTATATGTGGCGCTGCATAAGCAAAGCTACTTGACACGTGTCTGCGGATGGCCCATGTCATTGTGGGGATTAACCAACGCATTGCTGATTTGCGGCTCTCACTGCTTTGCGAGCATCGCTGTATACAACCAGATCAAAGGTCAACGGAGACGTGTCGCTGCACCAGTGACGACATAGAAGACATTTCTGTTTAGGTCACATGACTCTACAAATGTGACGCTCTGTAGGCTATGCAAACACGTCTGCGATACCATACTGACCAATGTGCTAGTCAATGCTCTCGGCGTCAGACTATTAAAATATTCAACAGATGCAGACACATGTCGCTGGAACGGAGCCATACCTTCTTCCCAGTGTACTCTCTTCTGCTCCTTATTCTTTGGGATCTTGTCGTCGCCTCTGCCCTCTGCGGTAGAGCCATCGGGCAAAGCGTATTCTGCAGAGATAAGGAGTCGACATCTTATTTCCACAGACAACTTTTCGACGAATAGATACTCATGATAAACGATAATGATTCGTTCTCGTAACATTTTATCACAATTGATAATACATGAATGCTGTACAGGAATTAATGACAGTCATTACAGGTAACCTTAAATGTCTGAATATAACTCTGCAACTGATGAACTTATGACACATTCTACAGCTAAGTTCTAAACACTGTAAAAAGTGCTCGCGTGGCGCGCTTTTAAACTTGGCACTAGTCAAAGTCGAGCACTTTGGAACATAATTCAGCACCTTCGTTCTTCGAGTGAGAGCCCCCTGAATCACACTGACATTCAACTGAATCCCGACTTCTTGGACCATCTAACTGCTCTGCAGAGCAGCTAGAACTTCGGCCATAGAGCATCAGTGCATGCACTCCTATTGCGAATGGGCTCCACATTGACATAAAGTGAGATGTAAAGTTATATCAACAAGAAAATAGAGTACACAGTCACGCACAATCATAATACGATGATGCTACAAACTGATCTAAGAAGTGTTCTTTTGCATGTGTGTGTGCGTGTGCATGCATGTGTGTATGTGTTTCTCCGGTTCGATTGATGAAGACACGATTGCATCTTGCACACCTATAGTGCAGGGGCCATATGATCGTTTTTCATGCAAAAATTACCAATACGAAATTGTGTTCTTGATGTGGAATTGTGTTACATCACTTGAGGAATCTGTTCCATTCTGCGATTTCTCGCTCGCATACGCGTTCAGATTAAGCTGAATCGAAACGGGTCATTGCATTGAGCATGCCTTCTACACTTGCAGCACTTGTAGCGCAAGTGGCATTCTACTGCATGTCCTATAACAACAGACAATATGTATCGGTGTCTTGCATATGCTACTCCCTCGAAGAATTCGTGACAAGAGCCTCATTCAACCCGCCGTGGTAGAGTTGCTGCGCTGCGGATCTCGAAGAAGCGGGTTGGATTCATATTTCAACCTGCCGTGGTAGAGTTGCTGCGCTGCGGATTTCGAAGAAGTGGGTTGGATTCATATAGCCACAAGACCGCGAATGGAATCCCCTTTTTTAGTAATAATCACAAAAACGTCGCAAGCTAAAAATGTTCGCAAGAGAATTTTCAACCAATCTCGATGTGGGACATGTCATTAGAGAAGCCGGCCGGCCAATGGGAGAACGCACTTGCAAATGCGAACACATGAAAATTGATATGTTAAGAGTTAGAAAACACCAGATCAGTAACTTACCTTTCTCCCAATCCTCCCCTTGATAGTGTTCCGCCGGATTTTTGCCGCATTGTTCTGGCACCGAGTAAGCCTTCCTAAAAAAGACCCCTGCAAGAGTATTTCGAAACAAACCATGACATGACTGATGGTTTCCCGTAGTTGGAGTTGCTGACATTTATGTAGTGCACTTATATAACATTTACAATGACAGTATGAAACGGAAAATTGGCATCCACCCAACTGTAGGGAAATCCGCATAGTATTGTCACGAGCTAAGGGGATGGCTAAGAATCACGACGACGAAGTGCTTAGCGGATATTTACAAACACTAATTCCTGGACGAATCTTCTAGAGTGGGTGCGTGCCATTGTTCTGATGGAAAAACAAACAAACAAATGCACTTAGACTGCAACAACATTGTGCGCTTTTGCGAGTGAAGGTGTACAGCAGAATATCACAGACAGGAGTCACTGTTTTCTGTCTAAAATAGTCGACAACCTAATGCAATCCTGCTCCATTACCTACCACAAGTTCACTAAAGTGTAGCGCTCTCTAACCAAAATAAGAATGTTTGACTGGCAAAAATATTTGTGTTTTTTTGTAAAAGATGCTAAACTTGCAGCATATTGTAAATTTTCACCAAAGCAAAAAAGGGGAAAAAATAAAGTAAAAATGAATGAACTATCATATTCATGAAATCCTAGCACCTTGAAACTAATGAAAAAAATTGTTTCATACTAATTATTCAAACCAGTAATACTGTATAAAGTATTTAGCAGGACACAGTTGTACTTGAATGCATAAAGTTTTTAAGCGCCCTCTAGGCAAGGCAATTTTTTTTTTTTGCAAATTATAATGTCTCAATAACTACTTTTCACATTTAAATATACCTCTATGATTTTTTTGAACATGATCGTCAAAGATGGCCAAAATTTACAAGGTACACTTTGATATGGAGTAAGCAATATATATATATATATATATATATATATATATATATATATATATATATATATTGCCACGTTCCATTTCCCAAGTTTTGTTATCGTCCTAAAACACTACACAATTCTCAGCGCAAACCGCGCCTGCATTTTTCGAGAAGCTTCCAGACGGTAGTAGATCATTTCGATAAGATCAAGCCTACCCTGCGAACTGTACAGACTATTCTGGAACCTACGCCACTGCCAGCGATAACGCTAGAACATTCGACGGCAAGAGTATAAAAGCCGACGCGCTTCGCCGCTTGTCAGTAGTTGATCGACGGCCGACGCTCCGTTCACGGCTATCTGTGCAAGACTGCTACTGTAATCGAACTTTCCGTTTACCGGGTACAGGTTCGCCCGAATAAACAGTTATATCCCAACATAAAAACTCCTGTCTTCGGCCACGTCACGACACCGTGACAATATATATATATATATATAAGTGTGTGTGTGTGTGTGTGTGCGTTATAACCCAACGGGAACGTTGTCAACCATCTTCATGAAGACCAATTGGTTCATTGAAATTTGAAATATTACTTTCAGAGAGAGAGAGAAAGAGAGTGTATGTGTGTGTGTGTGTGTGTGCGCGTGCGTGCGCACACACTGAGAGAATTACACACGTAAACAAAACAGGCAAGAACACTACATTTCAGACAAAAACACGACACCATCGCCTAAGCATCACTCGTCTTCTTCGACTTTTTGCTATTTGCTGTCCTATATCTAATGGTCCTCTTTGTTTTCATCCAGCTTCCTCCAACTGCATGTCACAATTTGTGTATATACACACGGCCAGGATAAATCACCAACTCCCCAGTCCATCCTTCTGCAGTCAGATGTCTCTTTTCTTAAAGGGTACAAAGCGTTTCTTGGTACTAGATATTGGTATTTGTGCGATTGCGTTAAAAAGCTTGTTTTGCAGAAATACCAGCATCGGTGCTGGCGCTGTTGGTAGTGAGCGATAAATCATCACTTGCTGTCCTTGGGCAAAAAACTGAGAATGAGGCATATAAAATAAATAATCAAGATGTCTGGGTCCGAGAGAAGATCGAACCGAGGCCATTGGCGTAGCAAGCAGGTTCTTTTACCACATAGCCACGTCTCAGCTTGTAAACCCAGTGAAAAAGTAACTTCCTCTTCTTGAAAATGGCGGAAAAATAAATTCATTCTTTACAGACACACGCGTCTTGTATACAGGCTTCACAATGCATGTAATATCACAGTAATATTGCATGGCACTAACGTACCTTGCCAGCGGGCATCAGAACATGTGATTATCACAGTGACTTCACCGTTTGAAGCCGGCCACCCATTCCAAACGGCACACATGTTACTGCGCAAGTTCCCTTAAAAGCTCGTACCTGTATAGTGGGTGCAATAGCAATTTTGAAAAAATTTCACATGCACCATTCCTCGTGGTTTAAAGCATGCTATACCTACTACACGGAATGCAGCCATATTTGCGAAAGCTTGACTGACACAAGCCACTTTCAATTTTATTGATTACATTGCAATAATCCACAGGATAAAGGATGAGGAGGACGAAGAATGAGGAGGATGAACGAAGGAAGGGAGGTTAGCCAGTAAATTATCTACAATTTGTGTGTGAGAAATTTAAATTTCTCGAGTAACATCAATCGTAAGGCTGCAATGAAAGCAAGTTGGTAGAATGCAAGTGCACGGCGATATTTCCTGTCACAAAAGTCTTGAGGCGATCTTCTGATCAGACAGACAGCAGAATTACGGAAGCTTCTTTACATGCATATCGGTGAAAGGTGCATTAGTACTCCATTATTTACTCTCTCTCAAAATAAAATTAGCTTTTTGAAGGAAACCGTATCACTACATATATGTAAATTCTTCACACGTTTCAGTGACATTGTTTGACTACTGGATATGTTTCTTTTTTTCTTTTTCGTATTCTATTTGTTTTTTGATTACTGAATCCCCTCCTCCCCTCATTTCATGTCTATTTTTTTTTGTACATAAGGCTGTTCATGATCAAAATAAAGTGGTTGTTATTTTGCGCATCACTCTGTCTCGTCTCTCACTTTTTTTTTTTTTCATTCTGTGCACTGCATCACAAGCATCATACAAAAAGTCACACCTTTGCCGCAAAGGCAAAGCAATGAACACGACAGCAACAAATTGGAAGGTCATGCGAAGAATAGCAAGCAGATCAAAACGCGCCCCACATTTCTCATGCACAAATGACACACGAATAACTAATGACAAACGGTACAGAATTTGCAAAATCTGCATAGGCACTGGATGCCTAGCTGTGTCTCAAGAAACTTCCTCAGTGGCTATGTATACTTATGTGCATGTTGTCAAGTGCTGTTCACAACTGTGGCAGAGTGATTGCACAAGATCAGATTCACCGAAAAGGTGAAGCAATGAATGTGAAAGTGACAAATTGCAATGTTATACTAAGTGAGGCTGGCAGTCAACTCATTTAGATCCGATCTCACGTAACCGTAACTCTACAAAACGTTGGCGTAAGAGAACACAGTCGTTCCAAGTACACTCTTGGCACTGCTTTTTCAGGCTGAGAGAACAGCCCATAGATGCTCCCGCCTGCTGTTGGGGCACTAGGCACGTGCTGATTGTTACCGTGATAGCGGAGCAACCATAAGCCTCCCTCCCACTATGTTCGCTCAAGAGATAAGCGCACATGCAGACCACGGAGGCCAGAAAGACTATGTTCGCTCCGCAAGAAGAGGAGGCTAGCGCAACATTCCCCGTATGTATATATTGTCACGCAGCAAAGGACGACGCAGTTGTCTATGAGGAAAACAAGTTTATTGGAGTGAACCTGTGCTCCCCTAACAACTGAAAAAATACACAGGCGGCGAAGCAGCAGCCAGCAAAACGACGGGCACGCTAGTGAGCGTCGGCGATCGAATGACGCAGCATCGGCTGAGCGGGAATTTATATCCCTCGGCGCGAGGGTTTCTCGAATAGTCGAATTGTATCGGGAACGCCGGGATAGCATTTCTTAGAAACGCTGTTCATTCGAACAACGCTTCTAACCAACAACGCTTGAAGCGTTGTTTCTATCGAACAACGCCTGAAGCGTTGTTCGATAGCGTTTGTTCGAAACGCTGTGGTAGCTTTTGTTCGAAACGCTGTGAAAACGGCGATAGCACAGGCCGGCGCAGCCAGGCCGAAAAAACAAAACACAAATAAACAAACCCAATGCATATTTCGCGGCATTACCCCCCCTCTAAGAGTACATCGACCCGATGCTAACATAAGGGACAGTCCAAACAAATTAAAATAAAAGTTCGTCATCGTCCGTAGAAAGGTTTTAAGCGAACCACATGGACGACTTCGGGCCGCATGCGTCGTCGTGATGTACGGGAGTCACCATCGGGGATCACTTCGTACGTTAGTTCGCCAACACGTCGTAGAATCCGGTAGGGTCCGAAATGGCGTCGTAGAAGTTTCTCACTGAGTCCACGTTGTCGAATGGGAGTCCAAACCCACACACGATCTCCAGGATGGTACTCGGCGTCTCGGCGTCGGAGATCGTAGCGTCTGGCATCCACCAGTTGCTGGTCCATTATACGAGCTCGAGCGAGCTGGCGGGCCTCCTCCGCACGTTGGAGGTATCCTTGGACGTCGGCGTTGAGGTCGTCGTCTTATACGTGCGGAAGCATGGCGTCGAGCATCGTAGTCGGCCGTCTTCCGTAGACGAGCTCGAACGGTGTAATCTGCGTGGTTTCTTGGATAGCCGTGTTGTACGCAAACGTGACATACGGGAGGACTTCGTCCCCTGTCTTATGTTCAACGTCGACGTACATAGACAGCATACCCGCGATTGTCTTATTGAGCCGTTCCGTTAGTCCGTTCGTTTGGGGGTGGTACGCCGTCGTTCTTCAATGATCTGTGTTGCTGTAGCGTAAGACTCTTTGCATAAGCTCTGCAGTGAAGGTCGTTCCGCGGTCCGTGATTAGGACCTCAGGGGCTCCATGTCGCAGCACAATTTGGTTAATAAAGAACTTTGCAACTTCTTGTGCAGTTCCCCTAGGAAGAGCGGTGGTCTCTGCGTAGCGCGTCATGTAGTCTGTCGCTACCACAATCCATTTGTTCGCGGATCGGGATGTAGGGAACGGGCCCAGAAGGTCCATTCCGATCTGTTGGAAGGGCCTCGTTGGGACGGCGATCGGCTGCAGAAGTCCGGCTGGTCTCGTCGGTGGTGTTTTTCGTCGCTGGCAGTCACGGCAGCTCCGGACGTAGTGGGTGACATCGGATGTAAGGCGGGGCCAGAAGTATTTCGCCTCGATTTTTGTAATCGTGCGAGCTGTTCCGAGATGTCCAGAAGACGGGTCGTCGTGGCACACTTCCAAAATTTTGTCACGAAGGTCTGCGGGGATGACAAGTAGATAATTCGTTCTCGTTCCGGGGTTGAAATCCTTCTTCACTAGAATGGAGTTTTTGAGGCTGAATGCTGGTAAGTTGCGCTTGAACGCCCTAGGCACGGCGACGTTGCGTCCTTCGAGGTAGTCGATCATGCCGCGGAGGTCAGGGTCGGCACGCTGCTGGGCGGCTAGGTCGCTCTCTGTCACGACTCCGAAGAACGCGCTGTCTTCATCGGAGTCCTGTGGTGGTGGGTCGACGGGGGCGCGAGACAGGCAGTAGGCGTCGGAGTGTTTCCTGCCGGATTTGTAGAATATTGTAACGTCAAACTCTTGCAGGCGCAAGCTCCACCGCCCAAGACGGCCAGAGGGGTCCTTCAAATTGGCGAGCCAACACAGCGCATGATGGTCTGTCACAACCTTAAACGGTCTACCATAGACGTATGGGCGAAATTTTCAAATGGCCCATATGATAGCCAGGCACTCTTTCTCGGAGGCAGAGTAGTTTCTCTCCTCCTTCGACAGACCACGGCTTGCATAGGCGATTACCTTTTCGTAACCGCTTTGCTTTTGGACGAGAACGGCACCCAAACCGATATCACTGGTGTCCATGTGCATTTCCGTTTCGGCGTTTTCGTCGAAATGAGCGAGCACGGGCGGGTTTTGCAGGCGTTGTTGCAGCTCGCAGAATGCCTTTTCTTGGTCGTTTTCCCAGCTGAAAGGGGCGCTTTCTTTCGTCAGGCGCGTGAGTGGCTCTGCAATGCATGCGAAGTTTGCGACGAAGCGCCGGTAGTATGCGCACAGTCCGCGAAACCTTCGCACACCCTTCTTATCTTTCGGCCTTGGGAAGTTCGCAAAGGCTGATGTTTTTGCCGGGTCAGGTAGGACTCCCGCGGCGTTCACGACGTGACCCAAGAACTTGAGTTCCTCGTACGCGAAACCGCACTTCTCAGGCTTCAGCGTTAACCCTGACGTACGAATGGCCTCGAGTAATGATTCCAACCTTGTGAGGTGTTCGTCGAAAGTCCGGGCGAATACAACAACGTCGTCAAAGTACTTGAGGCAAGTGTGCCACTTCAGGCCTGCTAGCACAGTGTCCATGACTCTCTGAAACGTTGCGGGCGCCGTGCACAGCCCAAACGGCATCACCTTGAACTCGTATAGACCATCCGGAGTTATAAATGCAGTCTTCTCTCGGTCTCTCTCGTCCACTTCAATTTGCCAGTAGCCGGTCTTCAGATCCATGGATGAGAAGTACTTGGCGTGGCAGAGGTGGTCGAGGACGTCGTCGATTCGTGGCAGGGGGTACACGTCCTTTTTGGTGATTTTGTTTAGTCTCCGGTAGTCAACGCAGAATCTTAAAGTGCCATCTTTTTTCTTCACGAGTACAACCGGCGCAGCCCACGGACTTTTTGATGGCTGTATTATGTCGTCGCTGAGCATGTCATCAACTTGAGTCCGGATGGCTTCGCGCTTGTGTGAAGAAATGCGGTACGGTGACTGTCTGGTAGGTCGGGCTCCATCTTCGGTTATTATCCGGTGCTTCGCCAAAGGTGTCTGACGTAACTTCGAGTTCGAGGAAAAACACTCGCTGTAGTGACGGAGCAACTCCAGTAATCTGTCCCGATTTTCTTGCGACAGCGCCGGGTTCACGTCGAAAGGATGTGGCAGCCTGGAAGCATCTGCGCGTGCGCGTTCAAAGGTGGCGACGGCGATCACTTGACTCGCTTCTTGCGTTTCTTCGAGGAACGCAATTGCAGCGCCCTTGTTTAGATGCTGGTACTCCTCGGTAAAATTGGTGACCAAAACGTGGGATCTGCGTTGCTTAAACCGCGCAATGCCTCTTGCGACAGACACAACGCGGTATAGAAGCAACCTTTGGTCAGTCTCCACGATAGCGTCGACGTCAGGAGCAGCACCTTCACAATAGACGGCGATCATCAAGCTTGCGCGGGGTGGCAGGGTCAC